AGTTTGCAACTCGAAACCAATAGAAACACATGTCATGTCATCTTTATTGTTTTATAGTGATGTACCCAAATGGGAAGGAATTTGTGGGCTGTACTTCTAGCAGAATATAAGCACACTGAGTGATGAAGACTTTGCCATTTTGCCATTTTGCCATTTTGCCACTTTGCCACTTTGCATTTTGCCCATGATGGCCACTTTGCCAATGATTGTCAATGATTGTCAAGTTTGGTCAGCATGGGTCAGCGATGGTCTGCAATTTGTCAGCCATGTGTGTTGTGTTTCTGTGTTGTCTGACCATGGCTGAATAAATCTAAGATGATCCACAGTCTGTTTCACGATTTCATCATTGTTCATCTACGACAGAAATAACCTCCACCTAACACCGACTGATGACCACCTGTCTTTTGGACTTTCGAAATAAGAGCTCTTGAACTGAAAGACATTAACCTATCTGACTAAATCTTCTTTGACTTGACTTAAACATAAGAACATTCAAACTTTAAGGGAGCGGTTTGATGAGAGTGTGAGGACATAATATGCGCATCGTATCGGAACTGCAGCTGGTTTCATCTGTCATTGCACAGTTGACGAAGGAGCAGGTTGCAGCAGAATGGAAAGGCAAATCGTCTCTCTGGCTGACGAGACTCAAGCTTTGGTTGTCTGCATTGCAGCCGAGGACCAAAGCTGCCTTCTGAAACTGGCCGAGATCCTCAGCCATGTTTGGTCCTTGTGCTAAGGCTATGTTACAACAGGTCCAAGAAGCGAGTCACTGTTCCCACAAGGTTTTTGGTGCACTGGTCAAGCTTTGCAGGTGGCGATGGACTGGACAGTCCAGCAGGCCCCTGCCCCAATACAAGGGCCAAGCTGGGACTCTGGGACATGAGAGCTACCTTTGATGCTTGCTGTGGTAGAGGATGAGTTAAAGGCAAGCCATGTGAGGGGGCCCAGATCAAAGGACGGCCTAAGCCCCGCCTCGCCCTGACGCCAGTCCGGGTCCTGCCGCTGCCGGTCTGGTGCACGTCTCACAGCTTGGAGGACACTGGGTGTGAGCCCTGGGTAATTTTCTACCATGACCCAGTGGTATCATGTTAAATTTGCCCGTCCTCCTCCGACCTCAAGGAACCCAACTGTCTTCACAGTGGTGGATCCAAAATTCAAGACTGTGCTCAAGGCTGAAATTTCCGCTCTGCTGGTGAAGGTCACCATCAGAGTAGTTCCACCAGGCAACAAGCAAGCTGGTTTTTATTCCCAATATTTTCTCATCCCAAAAAGGGATGGGAATCTCCGTCCCATTTTAGATCTAAGGGGCTCAACAAATAACTCAGACGTTTGCCATGCAAGATGTTGACTGTCGCGAGGGTTAAACAATCCATCTGGAGAGGAGATTGGTTCGTCACGATGCCTATTTCCAGATTCACATCCCGGAAGGGCACTGGCGGTTCCTCAGTTTCATCTTCGTAAGAAAGACATACTAATTCCTCCCATACTGGATCTCTCTAGCTCCCGCACCTTTACCAGTTGCACGGAAGCAGTTCTGTCGCCGCTGCGATTGAAAGGGATCAGGATTCTGAATTATTTGGATGACTGGCTCCTGTGTGCACGTTCAGAGAAGCAATGTCGGGCTCATTTGTCCTTGCTCCTGGATCACCTACAGCATCTAGGCCTGCATCTCAACTGGAATTAGAGCAGGCTGGAGCCACCACAAAGGACGCAGTTTCTGGGCCTCATAACGGATTACCAGACTGCACAACTTGATTGAGTCAGGAGAGACAGGTGGCCCTCAGGGGATGTCTCTCACATTTCAAACTGGGGGCAAGGGTCACATGGGGACTGTCTCTCCGCCTCCTGGGGCTTATGGCATCATAGGTCCAGGATTGGCCCTTTTGCATATGCGCCCAGTGCAGAGGTGTCTCCTGGGTCTAGGGTTGAGCCCCGGAAGCCATCTGCATAATGGTAAATGGGCTTGAGCTAGCGCTTTTCTAGTCTACTGAAAGCGCTTTTACACCACATTTCACACCTACTCATTCACACCCATTCACACACTGATGGCAGTGATTGCTATGTAGTGAGACCATCAAAAGTAACTAATCCCATTCATACACATTCATACGCCACCACCGAAGCAGCGGAGCAATTGGACACATCGGACCTGTTGCTGCAGGAGCTGGGGAACGAACCATCGACCTTCCCGTTGAGAGATGACGACTCTACCAACTGAGCCACAGCCGCATACCACTGTGCTTGTCACCAGACGGATGCGGTTGGCCCTCCGTTGGTGGGAGAGCAGGGTGAATATTTGCAGGGGAAGCATACTGGGCGCAGTGACACATCACCAGCTACTGGAGACAGATGCTTCGCTGACAGGTTGTGGCAGTCACATCAACATGCTGGAGCTAAAGGCGGTCCACCTTTCCCTTCACCATTTCCTCCCACATCTTCAAGGTCAGCATGTGCTGGTGAGGACAGACGATGTGACCGCATCAGCCTACATCAACAGGCAGGGTGGCCTGTGTTCCCCACGCCTGTGCAAACTGGCACACCGGCTGTGGCTTTGGCCATATCCCAGTGTTAGAGGCATAAAGGATAACAGGTTAATATAAAAATATAATTTGCCCATTATTATAATTTTGTATTTATATGTTTATAATTAATAGAGTTTTTGCTTTTGAATTTTAGAATGAATTTTTTTTTTTTATATTTATCACGTATTGAAACATTGTGTGTTTATAGTAGGTCTGTGCTCAGTTCACGTGTCCTGCTGCTGCAAAGTGTTTCTGCTGTCGTACAGCGCAGCTAATTGGCGTAAATTGCCATGTGGATACAGGTGAATAAATACTCGGACGAGAGGGCATTCTGCCGAGCAGGACGAGGAGCAACAGTTTTCTGACCGTCACGGTTTTAGTTTTTGGTCAAATCCGAAAGCTTTTCTTTTAGTAAACAAGTGATATTTATAAGAGCTTATTTTGTAAACTGCAATTCTTTTTTGAGTAGCCTACGAGTCAGAAACTTCTAGTCCTGCAAGAAGTGGCAAGAGGATTTTTGTTTGAGTTAAGTTGCCACTACACCCAGGTTTGGATCCCTGAGGGCAGTTCATGTACCAGGGGTGAACAATCTGAGAGCGGATCAGCTGTTCGGGGGGGGGGGGGTTCAGACCTAGGAGGTTGGAGGCTACACTCTCAGTTGGTTGCAGGTATATCTTTATGACATGTTACAGGGAACATCAGGTAGATCCTCTGGCATGCTCACCCTCGGAGATTCTGCAGTTTTTGCAGAAGCTCAGGGATGCGGTGAAGTCACCCTCCACCCTAAGGGGTATGGTAGCGGCTATCAAGGCAGCCCGTATAGGAGGATGCCAATTATCCGAGGAAGTTGGCAACCTTGTGTCCCAATTCCTCAAGGGGGCCAGAAGGCATATTGGCCATCAGTGTAGATCTTCTCTCTCGCCTTGGAGCTGGTTCTAAAGGCTGTGGAATGAACTCCGTTCGAGCCCCTGGATCCTGTTGACTTGAAGTGGTTATCCCTTAAGTCTGCCCTACTGCTGGCACTGGCCACCACCAGGCGGATTGGAGAGCTTCAGGCTTTCTCCATTCAAGCGGACCTCTGCAGGATCCCACCAGAGGGGTCAGGGGTGGTCCTGCAGCTGAATCCAGCATTTCTCCCCAAAAGTGTCAGCCTGACGTGGCTGTTCGGAGTGGAAACCTCTCAGACTGGCTGGCCTTGGTAGCGTCTCGTGCTTTGGAATCAGGTAGCAGTAACTTTTTTTTTGCTTGACACCATGGCATTGAATTCATTTATTTATTTCACTGAACTTGTTAATTTTGGTTAGTTATGTGTGTGATTCCCGGCAGTATGCAATGTGTTCACGTGGGTGGGAGTGTGTTTTTGTGGGTGGGTGTGTTTTTATCCTGTGTACCAGTGAGAGAGAGAAGAGAAGAGCTTGACCTGTAAAAATATTTACACATGCTGTCCTTGTCCGTCTGAGTTTAAAAGGCCATTTCAGCTGTCTTGCTTACACTCTTGTAAGCCCGATCATGGCAAGAGCTGTGGTGCAAGTCACCCTCTTTGGGCTGCTGCTGGCTTTGGTAACCACACTACCAAACAAGGTAAGATGCTTACATTACCTAGTGTAAAAGAGCTGCATAGAAACTATACAATCAATCCAACCAATGAATTTATACATTTCAGAGGCTTTGGTGTTCTTATTTTTCTGTATGTTACATCACACTAAACTTTGTCCTGATAAATGCCTGCAGGCTCAATAACTTGAGTGTTGCTTCATGTTTGTGTGTTTCTGACTTGGCATTTAGTAAGGTTTGGTAACTATGCTAAAAGGAATTGTTGAAAGTTGACATTTAAAAGTTCAGATAAGTTACAAAAATGTGTTTCTGTTGGTTTGTTTGTGTGTGTGTGTGTGTGAATATGTTTATACAGTCACATTATGGGGTCTAATCCCCCTTTTTAGAGACATAAAAATTCCCCCATGATGTTAATCATTAAGTAAGACCTAAGGGATAAAGGAAGTGTGCCATGTGAAATTACTGGATGGAAAAAAAGAACTGGGTGTTTCAGCATTTAAACCAATAACATTTTACCAATGCCGTCTGCCTTTGCTTAACATCATCATCTGATCTTTGGTTAGTTGGTCCTCGGCCAGAGAGATTAAACAAGCCAATTACTTGATTGTGAAATGGGCCTCCTGTATTTGCTCAGGATGACTGGGACATCTACAGCTTTCACATCAACTCAACAGTGAGCAGTCGTTACGCAACCACAGTCATCACAAGCCGTGTGGCCAATCGAATGGACGAGTCAAAGGAAATAGAATTTCAAGTCCGGATTCCCAAGAATGCCTTCATCAGTAAATTCAGAATGTGTGTACATAATGACTAATTCATTAACAATAAATGTAAACGTTTAATCATGAAATAAATCATGGGTCATTATTAATATTTATACTAATATAAGCTTGTCCTCGGTCTTCAGGTTTATAGATGGCCAGGCATACGATGGGGTTGTGAAATCTAAGGAGGCGGCTAAACAGCAGTACACTGATGCTGTGTCACAAGGCCAGAGTGCTGGGATTGTCAGGTACATGGATCAATAGACTGAAACAGTATATTGCCAGGTCTTCTGCAAATGATTTCTAGATCATATACCCTATAAGATCTTGTGTGTCCTTTTGATTAAAGAGGAACAAAGTGAAAAATATTCTTGAAAGTATAAATTTTTTTTATTTTTCTGACTTTTCTTAGATATGTAATTTTGATGTTAAAATCCTTCAAGTTAAACAATCTAAGAAGAATAATTGTAATTGCTTCCATTTGCTTTACTCCTGATGAAGGGTCAGATGTACGAACTGTTTTAATTTAAGGGACCCACTGCTTTAATGCCATGATAATCCTCTCTGTAAAAGTTCTGTAGGGAGGACTCTCGAAGAATTCAAGACCTCTGTGAATGTAGCAGCTCACAAAAAGGTCACTTTTGAACTTACATATGAGGAACTACTGAAACGCAAACTGGGCAAGTACGAGCTGCAAATCCACGCCCGACCAATGCAGCCTGTAAAAGACTTCAAGGTTTGAACATTCTGTTGGTATTTTATTCATGGATGAACCAGGAAAACAATACTTGAGTGATAACATCTCCATAACTATTTCATTTATTTCTCTAAATCAGGTTGACGTGTACATACATGAGAAAGCTGGAATCAATATCATGGAGGTTAAAGGTGGACTAAGCACCAATGCCATGGCTAATGCCATCACCAAAACACATTCAGACACACAGGTAGTAGTCTGATCTTTGTTCAACCCATTGCCCCCAATGGTTTTCTGATGGTATTTGACATTTATTCTGGCCTATTTCTCAGCCTGTCAAGGGTGAATAAATCTGAATTTTGCTGTTACCAGGCGTGGGTGTATTTCTACCCAACTGAGGACCAACAAAAGACGTGTGACCGCTGTGGAGAGCAAGGTATGAATGGAGATCTGGTTATTGTTTATGACGTCAACAGGGACAACTCATTTGGAGACATCAAGGTACAGCAAGAGTCCTATATTTTTTTTTGAAGAATTTAGACTTTTAATGAAACTGTTCGCAGCATCTCATATGTATGGCAGTTTTGCCTTTGCCTTACCAACAATCTTTTCTAACCAGCCGGAATTTCATCTTACTCTTCCTTAGAAATCATCAGGGTACTTCGTTCATCACTTTGCTCCATCTAATCTCGCCCGAATACCAAAAAATGTGGCCTTCGTTATTGATCAAAGTAGCTCAATGCATGGCAGAAAAATACAACAGGTACAGTTTATGAGAGTGTGATTTTGTGACAAATTACAAGAACTTTGAGGCATTTTTTAATTTTCAGCCTGTGGCATTTAATATACCGACTACAAATAAAAATCTTCTGAGATGAACAAAAGCTGTAATGTTTGAATGTTGTTTTTAACCAGACCCGAACTGCATTGATTCGTATCTTGAATGACCTGGCAGAAGAAGACCACTTTGGTCTGATCACTTTTGATAGCTCCATTTTTCACTGGAAACGAGAACTTGTTCAGGCTACGGAAGAAAACCTGGCTAGTGCCAAAACCTTTGCACTGCAGATTCAAGATAGAGGAGGTGAGGTTTTTTTTGTAGGGAAAATACTTTTTTATGAAACAGTCACATTTGACAGCAGAATGTTAGCGTTAAAGCATTTTTGTTGTCGTTCTATTTCAGCCACGGACATTAACCAAGCAGTTTTAGAAGGAGCACGAATGCTGAATGCAAATCCCAGAGAAGGCTCAGCATCTATTCTCATACTGCTCACAGATGGAGACCCAACCTCAGGTTATAATAAAAAAAACATGCATGTCAGATATATGCATTGCATTAAGAGCGTTCTAAAAATACTATCTTACATTTTTAAGATGACAATCAATGGCTTGACATCTTCTTTCTGCTGGCTAAACTCCATACTTGTGTGACTTGTGTTTATTACAGTGTGATGTTCATAATAACAACTGCATTCTGTGATGACACCATTATGAGCTCATCACAGATTAGTGGTTTGATTTTACTGTCAAAGGGAAATTGAGTTCAGTTTTAATCGTCAAACTTCATATTGGTCTTCTGTCTGCAGGGGTGACAAATCTGGAAGTAATTCAGTCAAATGTAAGAAAGGCTATTGCAGGTGAATTCCCTCTCTACTGCCTCGGTTTTGGTTTTGATGTCAATTTTGAGTTCCTTGAAAAGATGTCACTGCAGAACAACGGTGTGGCTCGACGGATTTATGAAGACTCTGATGCTGAGTTACAACTCAAGGTCAATTAAATCCCTCACACTATAAATATTTGTTACATTTCAATGGAAAAACTGCTCTTACTCTGCTGTGGCAAAACTAGACATTAAACCAGAGTCCAAACTGTATGTCAACAGGGTTTCTATGAAGAGGTGGCAACTCCTTTGTTAACAGATGTGACAATGGTTTATGAGGGTGGGATTAATCTAACCCAGACTAACTTCAGCCAGTATTATAATGGCTCTGAGATTGTTGTGGCAGGTCAGATCACTGACAACGACATCAGAACCTTCACTCCACAAGTTGTGGCCGTTTCGGTAAGGACAAATCCACACTCACATGAGCTTTCAATTTCTTAGCACTATGTAAAATGTAAAAAATAACTGACATCTGAATGTATTTGTTCAATAACAGAGAAATAGAAAGGTGGTGTTTCCTGGAACAAATGTTACAGTGGAGTCAGCCGATGTGGCTGACAGTAACATCCAGAGAGTTTGGGCTTACCTCACAGTGAAACAGCTTCTAGAGAAAGAGTGAGTGTGATGTCCAACATCTTTTATAAATATTATTTATCCATTATTTCCAACAACTGTTTTTTTGGAGGGCTACAACCCCTCATAGTTTGATTTGATTAATTAAATGCAAACCCTGTTTTCTACATAATATAATGTAATGAAATTGAAAAAAGAAAGTACTGAAACATCATCTTATTAACTAGCTGTCACTCATTCAACCATTACCTAAGCCCTTGGGACTGTTTACTAGTCAGTCAAGCCTTTTGTCTTCACAGGACAGGTAAGAAGATTTACAATTCCAAAGTTTAAAGTGTAATTTTAAAAATAGGTCTTACACTTTAGCCATAGAAGCCAAACAAAAGTAGATATACACGGTTGACAACTTTAATTTGGTGGCAAATATCGTTACTGTCCCTTACAGAATTTACCAGACATGTAGTAGCCTGCAGGCTTATGGCTATTTCACACCTTGCAGGGCAACTGACTGTTCAGCGACTTAAATGCAAGAGCTTTGCATACAAAAGCAAAACCTAGAAAAACTTTTTTACTGGATGTGGAAGTGGAATACAGTGTTTGTAAAATGTAAAAAAAAACAGGTATATGTTGGGTGTTCTGGGTGGTAAAACGATACTGGTGACTGGAAACCCCCAGCATCTTTCTTCTTCTTCTTAATTTCAAACATACACAACTTGTGCCACAGACTGCGGTTATCTGGACCTGAGAAGGAGAGCGCTAAGAAAGAGGCCTTGGAGCTGTCGCTGAAATACAGCTTTGTGACCCCACTCACATCCATGGTGGTCACCAAGCCTCCTGGGGAGAGCTCAGATGTGCTCCATAAACCCAAGGAAGGTGAAGCACCTCAGACCCCAACCTCTAATGCGAGGCAATACGGACTCATGCCTACTGTAAGTGATATTGTCATGGCTTATGATGGTGAGTAACACAAATGTGAACAGAACAGCAAACACAGTGCAAAACAGTAAATTAATTGTATAGATATAATTTCAAATGTACGTGTGGATTTCAACAAAATAAATTATGTGACTTAACTAATCGACAATTAATAAACACTTCATTAAATAATTTATTATTAATTCACAGTTTTCAATTAAATATTTGATAACAAGTTCTTTTTAGCAAATAAAAAAATCTAATGATAGGCTTTGTGATTATTCAATCGCAAATTTAAACACTATTTACAATTGGTTATGTCTACCTTTATAATGTAATTGTACTCTATTCTTCTCTTAATTAAGTGTTCACTTAAATGCTCCCTTTATTCCTGAAACTGTATCTAAAATCGGATTACCTTACCAACCTTCCTCTCCACATACACACACATGCTAGCTGAGGAGGATTATTGTTAATGACATATTGAAAAGATCAAAAAGAACATGATGTTTATATGGGGTAGCTTTGGCTCAGCGGTAGAGTCAGTCATCTCTCAACAGGAAGGTCAGGGGGTCAATCCCCAGCTCCTGCAGTCAAATTTCAAAGTGTCCTTGGACAAGACACCTAACCCATTGTGCCACTGTGAGATTAGTTAATACACCCTGAAGTCTTTGCCCCAGTGTGTAAATGTGGTGTGAATAGGTGAATGTGACCTGAGCTGTAAAAGTGTATTGAGCAGTCACAAGACTAGAAAAACGCTACACAAGTTCAAGTCCTTTTAACATTTTACACATGTCACTGATCATATGCCACCGTTTTGTAAAAAGGAAACTCATTCCCACAAATTTAATTGGCTTTTAGTTCAGATTATGTTGTCAAACTGAAGCTAATCAACTAATCAGATTGAAGAAGTTTATGAATTGAATGAATGAATGAATGTTTTTTTTATTTTGGTCATTCATTAAAGAATATCAAGAGTTAAAAATATTTATGTAAATAGTCAACTTACAGAAACAGAAACAAAAAACTTCACATGCTTAAACTTGTCTATTTCACACATTAAAATTCAAATAAATCAATGACCAAAACAGGAATAGGCTGAAGCCCAAGGTTTATTTCTGCCTATCCTGTAAAAATCCTTCATATAAGTCAGAACATAAACAATCCAACAAAAACAAAACAAAAACAAAAGCAGTATTTCTTAATTATTCATAATTTCACGTTGTAATCATGAATTAATTTGCATTTTAATTTTTTTTAAAAACTCAACAGAGAACTAAACAATTTCAACTCATCACTAAGGCTGTTCCATAATTTGACTCCCCAAACTGAGGCGCATCTATGTATTTTATGTTGATTCTCACTTTGCATGTTACAAACATACATGACCGTCTTAAATTATAATTGCCTTCCCGTAATTTAAAAATTGTTTGAATAACAACAGGAAGACTTTTATTATTAGATGGATGAAGTATTGTTAATGTTTTGAAATACACGATATCTACAAATTTAAGGGTAGAAGACCTTATGAACAATGGATTAGTAGAATCATAGTAACCAGCTTTGTTTATGACTCTTACAGCTCCTTTCTTGTGTTTAATTATTATTAACTCTTAATAAAGATGAAAAGTAGGAAAAAAGAGAACAGTGAAAATGTAGAAGTCATAGGAAGTTAGAAATAAAAAATAGGCTAATGCAGTAAGTCTACCTGTCATGCAATAATTCTCACAATGTGATTATTCATTTAAAAGCCTGTAATTAATATTTTATTCTTTGAATCATGTCAGTACAAACGTTGTTTTCATTCTGTGTAGCAAGGCGAGTTTTAGACTTTCACCCAAAATGCTTCTTAACAATCTGTGCCAATTACAAGTTCAGATGTCATAATTCTTGGCATGAAAAGAGTCTGAAAAAAAAGGAAAGTAAAAACATCCCTTGTTGTCCCTTTGAATCCAACTCACATGGGACTGATGTAAGGAAAGACTGCAGTCACTTGAAATTGGTATTTCTATATTGTTAGAACAAAGATCAACAAATATTTGTTTTAAAAGCCCATATTATGCCTTTTTGGGATTCGTTATATTTAATCTATGTACCTACTTTTGTACGTTCACAATAGGTAAAGTCAAAAACATGTCTGTTTTCATGTACTGCTCCTCTTGCTCCCTACACTCTGCTGAGCCACACTGTTAGACCCCACGTGGGCCAAGTCTGCTCTGATTGGTCTGCCGATCCGCTCTGTCGTTATTGGTCAGTCGCTCAGCACAGTTCTCAGAAATGTCCCGCCTCTTTTAACATATTGGGAATGCAGCCACTGGCTCGTCTGAGGGGAGCATAAACATTAGCAATTTAGCACTACTGTGGCTACCGCAGGCTACGGCATATCGTGGGCGTGCTACAGAAGTTAACGGGCGTGCAACATGAGCTGCAGGGCTTGCACAACGAGCCAATGTGCTTAGATCAGTGATCTCACACTGACAATGACGT